ATTGTTATTATTATTGTTATTATTATTATTATTATTATTATTATTATTATTATTATTATTATTATTATTATTATTATCCTCACAAGACAGGTTTCATATTATATTGATGTTCCTCTTCAATGTTGGCAAAAAACGACATTAATTGAAAACTAAATGTGCACAAGACATTGGTTCTATTTCTAAAGGAACATGGAAGGTCAATTGAAAGAACTGTATAGAATTAGCTGATATTCCTTGCTTTTTTTAGGAGGAGGAGGATGATGGAGTAGCTGTTCATTTGTTAGGTATACCTGTGCAGATTGAAGAATTGAAAGAGCTCGGGGATTTGAGTAAAAGTTGTAGACTGCAGAACAGCCGACCTATTGCGGTGTAACGGCGAACCACCCTGAGTTTAAATAGTTTCATTTCGGACTGTTGGGGAGAATGTGAACTCAATTTCATGACTTGGATATCTTTCTGAAGGTAGCAGTTTTTAAAAAACATAAAACGATTTTTTGCCAATAACTTTTTATAGAATACACCAAAGTATTCCAAATGTTTTCACTTAAAATTATTTTTGTGCTCGTAAATGAACCAAGACCCATTGCTTGTTTAAAATGTCTTTTGCATGGCTTGCCGGCAGTTTGGACCTTATCTCCAATCACTTACACCGTTTCCGACAGTTAATATGAATTGAGTGCGTCACGAGGCAAAGGTTCAAAAGAAAAGATACCGTTAAACTTTGGCCAAACCTTCGATTTCTATGTACTCCTTTAGTGCAAATTGTATAGTGATCCCGATGTATTGTTTTGGGTGGGCGGGGGGTGTTGTTTGTTTGTTGTTGTTTTGGTTTGATTGGGTTGGGGGTTTTTTGGAGGGGGGTTGTGGGGAGGGGTGGGGGATTGTGGGGATGTGGGGGTGCTGCTTTGGTAAGTGTTTTACGTCTTCACAACGACATACGGTCATATGAGCACTTGGGACACATTAAAGATTTTCAGTTGATAGGAATTTTGAATTTTATCCGGGTGGCAGCCGAAACCTACTCTTATCGATTCTAGGACTACAAAGGGAGCTTTAACATTTTTCGCCCTTACCTAAGAGGGCTAGAAGTTAGATCTCACTTACCATGAGGGTGTGGCTGAATGACAGCAGTAAGGAGCCATGGCAAGTAGTAGCAGTAGAAAGGCCGCAGAAGGAGACAGGAGCCCAGAAGAAGGGGGGAAGGAGAACGGGCGAGTGGGCTGAAAATGGAGCCGAAAGCAGACGACAAAACATGGTTGTTGTTATGTTGTTAGCGATCCAGACAGAACATGGTTATAGAGCAGAAAAGAGGGTGAAAGGAAACATTTTTAAGAAGACAATTTTCCGTTGCTGTCAGATTCGATCCCGGGACCTATTGAATGAAAAGTGAACACTGAACCTCTAGACCACAAGAGCCCCCATCCATTTATTCTGATGAAATTTATATAACATGCGGTTTATAAATAATGATAATATGTTTCAAATGCTGATATGATAAATAGTCGAATTTTCACAAACTTGCTTGTGTCACAAGATTTTATAAAAAACCTGAAGACAGTTGTTCACGTCCGCTGCAGATGCAGTTCATAATAAAGTCAGGCTGCTACATGAATCATTTTGCTTACTTGTTTAGTGTTTGATAGGATTAGTTGCATTTTCATATTCAAGATACTTGAATATTTGTTCAATAGTTAGTCGATTTGCTAATTTTTTTATTTTTTTTTTTTTTTTTTTTTTTTTTTTTTTTAAGGGGCGGGTGTTTGAGGTTTTTGGGTTGTTTTCTTTTTTTTTTTTTTTTTTTTTTTTTTTGGGGGGGGGGGGGGGCAGAAACGAAACACTGGCAGCCGAAATGGCGTGCTCACAGTAAGGAAAATAGTCAGGTAACCGCGCGCTCATATGACCTTAGCAGTTGCGAGCGCCGTAAAACCTTATACTACTACTACTACTAAGGAAAGAATTATGCCTCAATTTTGTCCTTCGAAATGTATAAATAAATGCTAATCAATGCATAGCCTCAGTTCGGTCCGACGTTGTGTCCTTGGGAGAGGCATTTTACACGAATTTCCAATTTTTCTCGGTTTTTTCGGAGATGGACGTTAAACTCGGAGGCCTACC